TCGGTTTTGTTTCTTTTTTTTTACACTCATATGTTTATCATGATTGACTATTCTAGATTATTTAACGTTTGAAATTTAAGACGAACAATTTGAAAGTTAGTTTTTTTGGTCACATCAGATCCTATTCATAGCCAAAATATCACTTTAAAATCGATACATTAGTTAGAATAACTCCGTCATAAAATAGATTTTATTATTATAATATAAACTCATGTTCATTCCGGAAAATTTCATTATAATTAATACTTTCGTAAAGACAATCAACAAAACATACTAATCACATATATCAATCATTCCTCAATAATAGAGAAAAATACAATTATCGAACCTCAATATCTCGACGCATTATTCAAAATTAAATCGTCATAAATACAGTAATCTCATGTATTGGTAAGTAGGTCTAATCCGTGTTTACTTTTGTGACATATGATTCATAACTCGAGAAATGCTTCTTGTTAAGTATTGTTTACTGAAAACGATCATATGTCACATCGAAAAGAGCATATTTGAGTCACACGTATACAACAACATATGGGTATAATCAATTAGATAGAAATAATAAAGAAAAAAACATCAAAATAGGGAAGCAATTCGTATTCATTTGTAAAAAGACGATTAAGCATTGCCAAAGGAGAACAATTTCAATCATGCAAATTGTTTGTATTTGACATTAGATTTTAGATCCATTTTTCAAAAATATTATAATTTAGTCAAGATAATACATGATTTTTATAAATTATATAGTCAACAACATAAAGTAGAACATACACTTCATGCTTCAATAAATACTTATATTTCCGTTTGATTAAAAATTCTATTTAGTATTTATCAAATAGAAATATGTATAAATTGTGGTTATTTTTGATTTAATTATATATTTTCTTTTCTTTCTTTATGCAATTGAAATTAATAATTAAAGATTGAGATAGTTGTTGAATAAGAAATTTATTCGTGTTGGCATTTGTTATGTAGAAGCAAAATACAATATTTTCATTATCTAACTAAATGAAATAATAATCTAGTAAATAATCATTTTATATTATTTTGTCGTGTTTGATTATATTTCAGTATCCAATAAATAATATGAAAAAGAAACATCGGCTGAAGTTTGTCGTGATAATAAAACAAAACTAAATAAAGAGATGATAAATGATATTAAAAAAATGAAAATAAAAAATCACATAGATTGTATCTTACCGTTGATATTAAATTCATATTAGAGAAAATATCAAAATAAATCGAGATAGATTAACTAAAATAAATATATAACAACTGATAAAAATACGCTTAGGAATCTATAAACTATTTTTAAAAAATCAAATTGAAGTATTTCTTATTAAGTGTCAAGCGATCTTTTGTTAAAACAATAACTCGAATGAATGATTTATAAAAAAAGAAAAAGAAATAAATTCAATTTGTTACATTTTTATACTTATAAAATAAATGATTACGATGATTAATTAAACACTCCTATCGATTTGACAAATATTTTAATAGAAGATGAAATGATTCATGAAAAATATTAAGAATATGATGAAAAATTAATTTAGTAAGCCTTTTACTACTAATCTTATTAAATGGAACATCTCGAAGAATAAATATTGACTGCTCTCATGTTACATATACTGCTGATTAATCATATATCAAAAATAATACCTTGAATAAAAACAGTAAGACCTAATTGATCAATAATTGAAATCCATAAATCATATATTCCATGATTTATTGCATATTCATTTGATGAACAAAATATTGCAAAAAGTATCAATAATAAGTATACAAATAAGAATAAATATTGGAATAGATTCAATTAAACATTTTTAAAAAGTTCTAAAAATGATACAACAAAGTACATATAAACATGATAAATAAGAACATATAGTACAATTTTGACTGTATGTTTCACAAAAAAATTGCTTTAATAAAGAACAAGTAAAAAAAAAAGTATGAAAATACTATTGGAAAATGTATCGTGAAAAAAGAAGAAACTGTAACATTACACATGAATATTGACCTGTATAAATATATGATAAACTCCCTTGACTGCTAATGCTACTTTTTTTACGAATTTATTTGATTGTTGTTAAGTTTTTTATGGAAGAAAATATCATTATTTTGAATTAAAATAAAACCATGTCTAAGATTTCACGGCTTCGAGCGATGTTGATAAATGAAGATTTTCATGTTAAGTGTAAAAACAAAGAATAGATCAAAATTTCCATTAGCATAATCTTAATTATCAGAAATGCTAAATTAATAAAACATGAAGAAAAAAAAAATTTGCGCATGATTTTTTATTATTAATCTGATATAATATTGGGAATATTTGAAAACTAATCTTCAACAAAAGTCAAACATGAACATTTTACATTTGAATTCGCTCAATATACTTAAATAACTGTCTGAAATGTCAAAAAATATAGTAAATAAATTGTCTGATGAATTCATTTTTTTTTCTAGTAAATCTAAACATACAGAATTTCGATAAAAAAAAGGAATACTCATGCCGAAATAACATATGTAAGTGTTGAAATAAAATAAAAATTCAATGACTTGTTTACTGTAATTATTAATTCTATTTTTGTGTTATCAAAGTTTAGTTCAAGCTTTTTAACATATTTCACCATATTAAAAATATTATTCATTGAAACGAATAATATTGTTTGATAATAGTTTGCTTAGTATGTCAAATAAAGCGTATTTCAATAAAGCATATATGAATACGATTAGCATGTATTTAAGAGCATGATTGCATACTTATAGATATAAATTGTAGTGATGAACAAGATCTTCTAATCTCAGTACTATCTAATCTTGTAAAGAAAATTATCAATATTCTCTCTTATTTTTAGTCAACTGGAATTCATCACATTCATTTTTGAAATACATTTCAGCACTCAATATGCATTCATTTTTTCTTTTCTCTGAGAAGAAATTTTTTTCAAAATGCTTTAAATTAGAGGCCAAATAAATCAAGATGAAATGTTTACCTGAAATTTTTGCACATGACCTTTGAATGACAAGACGCCTCCGCACAGAGACACTTCTGCACGAGACATTACTGTCTTGACACTTACGTACAAAAGGAATTTTTTTTGCGTTCTGGTTATGTTAAGTTAATAGTTCTTTCGAGCTTCATGAGTAATTGTTTACGAAAAGCAAGATTTATATACAAGTAAGGAAAAGAGTACTTGATTGGATGATTGTGGTGGAATTAAAAAACACTAATTTTCTCTTATAAATGATATGCAGTATGTAAGAAGTCATCGCATCAAAACTGATCAAATCAATAGCATACACTCGTTTCACAAAGAATTTATTTTTCAAATTAGAGATAGAACTATCATTAATGTCACATTATCGAGAATATGAATGTTTATTCGTTTGTTTGGACTAGATGAATAGTTAGAGATCTGAGACGTTCACTGTTCGAAATGGAAATGTCACAAATGTAAGAATTTGCTAAATTATATTCTATGAATCAATCGAGTAGGTAAAGTTATAACCTTTGGGCTGTTCAATCGAGACAAATGAAGTGTTGATGTTTATTTTTCGTGTCGAAATTGTCTGATATTAAATATTGAAAGCATTATTTGCAAAGTGAAAGGATGAAATTTGTGATCAAACAACTAATGATCAAACTGAAAGTACAAACAAATAATCACAAAGCATAATTCATTCAGAAATAGTTCCACAATTTACGAAAAAAAGTTTATCTAATTGACTGATTTATATTCAATATAATTTAGTACATGTTGATTTCTTCCTTATCTCTTTTTCGAATAGTAAAAACTGGAGATCTCTATGTACGTATTCTTATCAAAATATTCAACAAGTATTGGTATTCATTATATTTTTTTGACATTGATACTAATATCAAACGTATGTATAAGGATACGTGTGATCCTGAATGTGAATGTTGCTGTGGGTACTAGTGTTGGGATAGGTGTAGATTTAGGTGTGTGGGTCCATCAGACTTTTCTCCTTTCTATATTCAAACAATCACATTCATATCCATCCTTAAGCTCATCTACCACACCAAAACAACAACATCGATATACCATCATCTAAACCTATACAAAAACCCACACACATACGAACAGCATGTCCAAGACTCATGTTCACACTCGGTAAAAAAAACTGATTGCATAAAAAGGAGATACATAAAGCATTTGACTGACTGAAAGTACAGTACAAAGTAGTCATCTTAATTCGTTAGTCTGATGTTTCAATTTGGACACATAACTACATATGCGCACGCAAACAAACAAATGAACCTGTAAATTCATTTTATTTCATGTGACGGTTCTTCTAGTGAAGAGAATATTATAATAATAATTATTTCTCGATTATTATTATATTCAACAAAAAATCTCTAAAAAATATGATAGAACTCATTTAAAAAATTCTTTTAATTTTTAACTGTTTATTTCTAAAATAAGATCATCTATGATACAGATAATGCCCATTTTGATGTTGTACAAAACTATGAATTTTTAATTTACATTTAAATTTGATATGTATTTTCGAAAAAAGAAATGACGTCAAAATATCAGTGATTCATCTGCTTCAGATTTATTTATCTACCTTTAGCAAAGATTTGAAATAAATAAAAATATACTTTGAAATTTTATATAAGTATACTATTCAGACGTCATTAATAATAATTTTTGGATAAATAATATGTCTCGTTTGCGCTGTTTCATATAATACTGCCTTGAAAAAAAGAGATGTTTTTTTGCCCAGTAAGTCAACGAAATATACTCGCCGATATCATTTTTCTTTTTTTAACTAATCCACTTTTGATCGAGTTTCCATTTATTTTGTACATGATATATTAATCAATATTATTTATGTACACATAAACTCAGGTCAAGATTTCGGAGCACATGAAAAAGAAAAGAAGTATTTTTCTTTCTTAAATCATTTCGTATATATATACAGTTTATAATCTCAGACTGGTTTCTATTCTGTCCTGAACTATAATAAATTTTCAATTAATGAAACCTTTTTTATTCGTATTATTATTGATTAGTGTTTTAACCGATGCAAAACGTTATAAATGTAATAATAGACTTTCTTGTGGTTGTGGTTCATCGAATGTTGAAATAAATTCACGTATTATCCATGGTGAACAAGCAATACGATGTAGTTGGCCCATGATTGTATCGATACGCTATGATTTTATTCATAAGAATTTATCAATGCATACTTGTGGAGGAACTATTCTTACAGATTCATATATTCTCACTGCAGCTAGTTGTTTAGAAGTAATAAGTGATGATATAAAATTTGCGAATATAAGTATTGCTGCTGGTATGCACAGTAGATCTGAATCAGATCAAATCATACGAGAAGTTGATCAAATTATAATTCATCAAAATTGGACACGTACACAGAATGGATATCATCATGATATTGCTTTAGTTCATTTATCACAACCACTTAATTTTCGTATGAATTCTTGTATTACACGAACATGTCTTCCATCACAATTAAATACTCTCAAAGAATTGTTACAATATCCATTACCAGATGAAACTTTAGTTGTTGCTGGATGGGGACATACAATTTATTCTGAAAATCACTCAGATATTTTACAACAAGCAATGGTTTTTTCAATTGGCCATAATGATCCAAAATGCAATAATAGTGTCAGTGATTTAAAGGGACAATTCTGTGCAGGAATGCCTTACACAAATACAGGTCAGGAAATTATTTATTGTTTTTTATGCTTCAATCTTATATACATATATTTATTTATTTATTAAGGTTCTTGCCATGGTATGTGACTTGAAGTTATATTATATTTTTTTATACTTATTTTATAATTAGTTGATATTGGTAGTCCAATATTCCATTGGATCGAAGATCATTGGGAACAAGTTGGTATTACATCCTTGAGACCAGGTAGTTGTAGAAAAAATTCAGCTATTGTTTATACACGAACTGCATGCTATCGTGATTGGATTGAAGAACATATTAAGACTAATGATAAAATTACAGAAGAAATATCTTTCACGATAACTCTTCCACCAATAGATATAACAGATGTACCTTCAACTACTTATTTATGTGATAAATATGTAGTACCATGTGGTTGTGGTCGTCGAAGTGTTCAATTTCCTCAAACAAATATTCTGGTTGCTACTGAAGCTATACCTTATAGTTGGTCAATGATTGTTTCTATACGTTTGAATAGTACTAATAAACATGCATGTAGTGGATCAATTTTATCTCAATCTTATATTTTAACATCTGCATCTTGTATTGCTAATGTACCATCATTTGGTATTAATATTGTAGCTGGTATTCATAATTATTCAGAAGATGATGCAACATATCGAAAAGTGGATCAAATATTTTTACATCCAGACTATATAGGAATATCAAATAATTACGCAAATGATATTGCAATTTTGCATATATCTCAATCGTTAGATTTCGATATTAATCCTTTTATTAGTCGAATATGTTTACCTGAAAAATTTGAATCAATAGAGAATCCAATGAATTATCCACAACCTGGAACACGTTTAGCACTTATCGGATGGGGATCTATGAGTTGTCAAAATAAAACTAATCATGATTTACTTCAACAAATTCAAATATATTCTATGAATCATGCAGATAAATCTTGTTTTGTATTGGAGAAACATCGTAATACTCAATTTTGTGCAGGAATAGAAGAAGATGGGATAGGTTAGAACTTAAATTCCAAATTTATGTATATATGTATGTAATAAATTCTTTTTTCTTTTAGTTCCATGCGTTGGTTTGTATAAATTCTTTATTTTTTTGATATTTTTTTGTCTTTATTTGTATAATTATAGGGGATCCTGGAAGTCCAATATTTGAATGGTTGACAGATCGTTGGCAACAAGTTGGAGTTGCATCACATATAATCGATTGTGTTCCATTTAGATATTCAGGAATCTATACACGAATTATAGAATATAATGATTGGATTCAATCAATCATTAGTAATTGTTCAATAACATCTTCATCAACATCAACACTAACTACTGTTATTACTACTACGACAACTGCAAAATCTTCTGTCTCATATCAATGTAATACAACATCAACATGTGGTTGTGGCAGTACTCCTGTATCTTTAACACCATCACGTATAGTTGGTGGTGAAAATGCTTTGGAATCAAGTTGGCCCATGATAGTTTCAATGCGTTGGATTCTTGATGATTATCATCGTTGTGGTGGAACTATATTATCTAATTCTTATATTCTTACTGCTGCTCATTGTCTTCATGGCTTTGTATCAAATCCACCCATTGGTGTTACTATTGCAGTTGGTATGACAAATATTTCAGATTCAAAACAAATTCGACGTACTGTTGATCATATTTATATTCATCCGAACTATATTGGTAGACAAGATAATTATCGTCATGACATTGCTTTAATGCACATTAATCAATCATTAATGATTGACCATAATCGAATTTTAACAAAAACGTGTATACATCGTGTCAATCCACCAATGTTGAACAATCAATATATAAAAAATGGTGCACGTCTTACTGTAATTGGATGGGGTGAAACGAAACAGAATCATTTTCAGTCACCTACAATTCTTCAACAAGCAGAAGTTTATGCAATTGATAATGAAAATTCGATATGTAGAGCAGCAATGAATGATTCAGAAATACAATTCTGTGCTGGATTACCAGAAGGTGGAAAAGGTTTGTCTCTTAAAGATTTTTGTATTTAAAAGTTATATTTATATTTTTATTTTTATTTTAGACTCTTGTCAAGGTAAACTTTGTGTAATGAATTTCAATTTTAGTTTTAATATTAAATAAATTTTATTTGTAGGTGATTCAGGTGGACCTATATTTCAATGGACAGGACAATATTGGGAACAAGTTGGTATTGTTTCACATGGAAATGGTTGTGCACAACCTGGTTATCCAGGTGTTTATACTCGATTATCATTTTATTATGATTGGATTAATGATATTCTAAAAAATGATAATGAACATTTGGAACCACAATTTTCATCCTATGAAACTTCAACAAAACCTGATACGACGACAACAATTAATGAAGCAACACCACATACAAAAAGTTATGCTCATAATCATCAAGAAAAAGTTCTTACTTTTGCGATAATTGTTTGTTTTCTTCAGTATTATTTTATGATAAACACTTTATAATACATTTTATTTGAGAATACAATTATTATTTCTACAGTATATTTAATTACATATTCTAATTTCAACTATCTGACACCGAAAAATGTTGAGTTCATTTTTTATTATAGAACGGACTATATAGAATTGGCGTATCTCAAATGTATTCCCTTTTCAAGTAGAAGGACAGAAGAAAAAGATGAATATGTAAATACTAATTATCTGACGTATTTTATTGTCTAATAAAAGAAAAATGAAGAGAATCTGGGCAAATTAGATTTATTTTTACCAAAAAGAAAAATGTGAATTACTTAGCAATTTTGTTGAGTCGAAACGTATATTTCTCGAGCAATCAATAATCGAATTAACATGAATAATAAAATAATACGTATTGAATATACATTTTTGTAGTTTTCAATTTTGATTAAAGCGATATCGTTACATGAGTACTTCTCATTACCCGGTAACAACAAATGCGTGATTTACAAGAAAACAAAACAAAAATACTCTTATTTATTCAAGATGCATTAAACTTGTAGAGGATCAAATCAATGCTGAAATAGATAAGATTACAACATCTATAACTTATGCATTTTACTTCCTGTCGCTCATACTAAATATCGTTGAAAAACAAATCATTAAGATAACCATAGTTTGAACTTCAGTAACAAATCGTTTTTCTTGGGCAAATTCTAATGAAATACAAACAATTTCTGGACATGTACAATATAATTTGGTTTCGATACTTCACGTGAACGCGATAAAAAGTATGTGATATCATGGTAAATAAATTTGTTATCTGGAAATTAAATGGATCAATTTCAAAATAATGTTAAAGACGAATCATCATATACTTAATCAAATAAAAATATTAAATCCGTTTGTTATTGTTTCATTTTCTGCGAAAAACTCTAATATATCATTTTTGCTAATGGAAAATAATATTGAACAAACATAAAATTTACTACACTATTGCGAAAATATTCATTTTCATAAAAATAATTTTTCAATACAAACTATTCACATAGTTTTGTTTCTTTCTTATTTGCAGTTGTGAAAAAGAAAAATGATCGCCATGTTTTGAACCTTTGTCAGTAGTTGAAGTGACTAAAAGCATTTTTTTTTCTTTCTGTAAATAAAAGCATATCATGCAGAGATATTTTTCTTTTTTTTGAAAACATAATTTACTTGATAAAAAAAGGTTTACGTTGTAACGCCTGAAAAAGTTCAGCATGTTATCAAATCATTTGAGACATGTTTAGTCATTACAAAAAGTTCTAAAGTCGAAATAAACAGTTTCTGGTCAGTTGACAAATGTGAGCTGTGAAAGAAAAACTCAATTTTCTTTATGCGAATGACACTTTGGAAAACTGTTTTGTAATTTTCATTTATTTCGAAAAAAATTTTCACTTTCAACAGAGTTAACAACGGCAAGTACTGATTTAGTTATTGTTTTTTTTCGAATGTGTCATTATTTTACTTTGTTTTTTTTTTTTTATTTGTCCAGATACAATGATAACTACTAATCAGTTCCCATTATACATCTGAAAATACGAAGGCTACAAATTTTCTTATCAGTCTCAACGACGACAATGTCAACATCAAACAAGATTTTGATATATTCCATTTGTATTACTGTAAGCATAAATTTGATAATAGCATCAGTAACAACAGTAACGATAACTCTACCAACAAATATATGTTCTGGTCATTTTATTCACAGCGATAGTAATCTAAATAATGTCCAGCAATGGTGTTGGAATGAATAGCTCAACATTAGTTTCACCTGGATATACTGGTTATGGATCAATCAGCTCTCTCTGTTGGCGCAGCCAATTTACAATATGTTCTTGTTTCAACCTAAAAAATATGACATATACAAGTTTTACTTGGGAAATATGGGCTTATCTAACTAATTTAGGTAAATAAAACAACACTATATGAAGTTTTTCACGTTTTATAAATTTATATATTCTCTTTTTTTTAGTCAACTATGATAATTTAATGGTTGGTATGTGTCAAACACCTACGACTAATAAATGTTTATATTTAATGATTTGCCAGAATCCAGCTATTTTGCTTTTTTTGGAAATGATTGCTAGAGTTCAACGATTGTTTCAGTTAATCAATGGTATCATTTTGGATTTGTTTATGACTATTCTGCTTTAACACAATATGTTTATTTGAATGGATATCTTACATGTACACATACATCATCAAGTCCATTTCAAACTATGACTGGTGCTATTACCATCGGTGCAATTAATACTACAGGAGCTGCAACACCTTCTTCGTTCTGGACAGGATATCTTGATCAAGTATCATATGTATCAAAAGCGAAGACAGCAGTTGAAGTTCTTGACGATGCAATATTAGTGGCATATTATTCATTTGATAATGGTTCATTCTATGATTCAGGTCCAAATGGAATCAATGGAGTATGTTAAGAAAATAAACATAGTGCATACATTAAATGTTTTTCAAAATTGTTCTTATTTGTCGATAATCTAGTTTTACTCTAGTTTCAATTTAATCATTTATTTGTCTAAAGACATATAATATATATTCTTTTTTGTTATTTTTCTAATAGACTGGAGTTAGTTTGACATCAACAACTGGTTGAGTGAATCAAGCCATTCTAATGAATGGAAATGGACAATATTTTCAAGCAACTGGTCTTACTCTTTTAGGATCTGCTTATCGATCATATTCAGTTTCAGTTTGGATCTACAAATCATTGCCAGCAGTTGATGATGGAACAATCATTCATCTCTCATCTAGGCAAGTAAAATTAGTCAGAACTAAAATAAAAGATTGTTTTTGACAAGATCGAAACGAATCATTCTTCCTTACATGTTATTTCATTCTCATGTCATTGTAATAATTATTTTTTCTGTCTTTTTTTATAGTACAACTGGAGTAGGTTGGCGTTTGCCTATCTTGGGTCTTTCTTCATCATATCAGATTATCGGTCAAAATTGGAATGGTGGTAGTGCAGTACCAGTGGTTGGGCCGGTGAGCCCTCTTGGTGTATGGATTCATGTTGCTACTTCATATGATTCTACAAATGGTATTCGTCTTTGGTTAAATGGAACATTGATTGGATCAACGGGTTCTTTTTCATATAGTCCATCAAGTGCACCTAATACAGTCACACTCGGTAATTCATTATCAGGTCAATCGTCTTGTGCAACGGGCTCTATATCGAAAGGACAATTCTATGGTAAGATGGATGAATTAAGAATATACTCAAGAGAACTAACTGTTACTGAAGTTGATGCATTGGCGAATCCCTAAGAACTTTTCTTTTTCTTTTGTTTTAATCGAATTAAAAGGACAATTGACATTCAGTCGTTTGGAAATTCACATTTCATGGATTGAGATTCTCTTTATGTATTTTTTTTTTCATATTTTTAGTTTTACATTTTTTTCACTATAGTTATTATCTTACTAAAGATTGTTCTGTACATACTGTTATTAACTGAGCAATAAAAAAAGTTCGAAAGTACTTTTAATTATCGTCGCATTATTTTAGAGTAATTTTTTCCATATCGTTTCATTTTGATACTCTGTAGCTTGAGATTTGAACAATGAATGGTTCATTGACATTGAAGGGCCACGTTGAAACGTAATATAGGATAAGCATTTTGAAAACAGAAGTTTATGCTATCATTTAGCCAGTCAGTAAAATAAACGAATGATCAGCTAATTCAATGAGAGGTTGGTATATTATTCAAAACGGTTAGTTATTGAAATAGTTAGGTTCGTTCATATATTAAAAAAAATCAGTAAATTAAATGATAGGGTAAGTATAAAAACTGAAACACTGTCATACAGTGACTTAAATAGATGATAGACATATTGCAACAAAATTAATAGAAGATATTCAAATGCTACAATTATCCAATTCTACAGATGTATATAAATTAGCAGCAACATTATTCATGAAGAAATCGAACATGAACAACAATCATAGACTCAAGCACTATTCGATGCTTTTTGAATCATTTTGATAATCAATGACTTAAATCAAATTGTAGTTGGTATAAAAATATACAAATGTATGCACCAAATACAAACAACGCTTTAGAGGCTACCGACAAAGCAATCAAAGATAATGAAACGTTTAGAGAGCGTTATGTTTTTTCTCAAGATTTTTGACAAAGCTTCAAATATTGTCAATAATTGGCTAATTGAACGAGATTTTCTCTCAGTTAATGAAAACAAAATTGGTACAGAAACAGCAATATCTTTAGAATTATAGACTTTATCGTGTTAGTGAGTTAAATCAACAAAAGATATAAGTTGCATTTACAATCGATTACACAAGTCGGTTTGAATAAATATAAAAATAAAAAGTGTAACAATTTTCAATCAGTTCACAAAATCATTTGATAGGTGGTGTATGGAAATGAAGAATGATTCAGATTGGAGACAATCAAAATGCAATTGTCGAGCTTTTTTTAAATAAGTGTTATATATGCAAACATGTTGTTGGTGTGGCTATTCATTTAATATAATGCAAACCATCACTAGCATCAAAGGCACTGTCAATCAGTGAAAAAAAGGAAAAGGCAAGCTAGCAAAGGCTAAACTTGCTTTGCTGGTACACTAATTGAATTTCCATTTATTCTGTGATTTTTTTTATTTTAATTTATTTTTCTTCTGTCAATACAAATTAATTCTTTCGGTAATAAAATCTGCATTTTTACTTATCAAACTTCAATATTTTACTGATACTTATATATAAAAAACTGGCCATTCGATATTTACACTGATCATTTGTATATTTTTTTATAGGTCAAAAATTATGTTCCGAGAAATTTACACTTAAATATGAGTAAAGATGTTTCTCTTAGTAATGAAAGATTCAGTGACATCTACACATAGAAAAATGTATTACCTGTTTCGTTGTTATTCATTATTTATGCTATGCTAGTACAAACTCCATCAATCAGTCATATGCTTTAAAGATTTGAGAGAATATCGATTTTGTATTGTTAATAATTTCATGGATGGGTGGGGTCGGTGTGGGGTGTTAATGTTGTTCTTCACTTCACTGACACCCACACCCACTCCCATATCCTCATCATCTGACCTCCGATTAAATGATTGCTGGCATTCTTACATTGTGATCGATGTTCAAACAAATATTTCCATGATTTATTATATAAAGAAGAAAGAAAAGGAGAAAAGATTATTTCTTGTTTAAATTGAATCTCATTATTTAACAAGAAATTTATGTACTATTGGTAAATTAAAATAATAAAAATCGATAAACATTTCGCTGAAATACAAAAAAATGCCCATGGCGGGTCTCGATCCCGCGACTTCCGCGTCACTCAATGCTGTATATAAGCACGGCAATCTAACCAACTGATTTACACGGGCAATAGAAGAATTTCAAATTATCAAATAATTGGTTCAACTAGAGTCTAAAAAAACAGAAATTTAAAATGTGACAATACTGAAAGAGTCCATTGAATCAACTAAGTTGTAATCATTAATTAATAACATTCCATATGAGTATTTATTTTAAGTACAAGTGACATCTTTGTGAATAGGTCACAAATGTTCATAGTGATGGTCAGCAGGAGACTTGTTCTTTTAATCATTCTCGATGTGTATGTAACGCTTAAGGGCAAACTAAATGCCAGTCAAACATAAATACAGTATATAGTAATTGAATATACATGAAGAAATTTTGTCATCATCTATCATGTGAAATATCCCACCCCCCTTGAAGTGTCATTTATGATAAGATTCATTGAATACGATCAAAAAGCATAAATCTATAATATTTTATTCAAAATTGTTCAGTGAATTCTTTAAAGCTGTTTAACTTATCAGATGAATTATAATCTTATTTATAAGGAAAAGCATAAATTTTATTCATGCATATAATTGAATGAATGTCACCACACCTTATCAATTCTGTCACCTACTATGCGGATACTACTCACATAAGTAGCATGTAAATCCACAAAAATTTCTCTGTACATCAATTTTTCATATGATCAATGTCTTTCTTTATATTTTCTTGTATCAAAAATGGACTCATTTTATTATTCTTTTTCTTTTTCTAATCTTTTATTTCATCATCACAACACAAAAGGAATTCTACATAGATATGCTCACTGTCTAATACTGAAAATCTAAACGACAACTTCATAAACAGTTTTTTTATTTAATTGATAATTTTTTAATGATGTTGAATAACCATTTTCAATGCTGTCTTCTTGATTTTTTGGTGTATAATGTGGAAAACCATAACCAATATGTTGAAATTGTGAAGCATTTAAATCATTTTCTATTGATGATAGATCAGTTGGATTCATATCTGTTATTGTTAAATGATCACTACCTGATAATGAAGATGAATTTGGATTGGATAATATTGGATCACTTGAGCCAGATGATAATTGATGATTATTAACAGTAGTAACTATATAAAATGATAATGAATTTTAGTTTCTTTTTGAAATTTTTTTATTAACTAGAATTTAAAAAACTATATACCTTGTAATTGATCAAATTTTTGAATTTCGTTTAATTTAGAATAAGATGATGGCATTTGTTGTCGTTCGGGATATGTTACATTTGAAAAAAATTTTGTCGGACTGAAAATTAAATGATTAAAACAAATCATTATTATTATCTGATGAATTTACCTGTTCGTATTAGAAGTAACTGATTTTGTACTAACTGGATCTTGTGAAGATATTTTATTTGATATTCTAACTAAATATTGACAGAAAAAAAAAATAAACGTTAATTGAAATAAAAAATAATTCAAATACCTCGAGAATGACTTGTATTTCGTAATCGTTTACGATTTATTATTAAACAAAATATACCAAGACCAAAAAGAATAAGAAACAAAACAGTAATAATCGATGATAATAATATAAATATCCAGTCAAATGATGTTTCACGTTCTAAATTATAAGAATTTTTATGAAAAGAAAAACATAAAACACTTAGAAAAATGTTTTTACTTATTTCAACTGGAAGCATTTCTCCACAAAAATTTTCATATTGATCAAGGCAAATTGATACATTCATAATATTATTTAAATCATTTTCAGTGAGTTTTAAAACTCCACTTGATGTTACAATACGTTGACATACATTCGTTCGATTATAGATTTCAATTCGAATACATAATGGAACTTTTATTGATGTAAAACTTGATTCATTTAAACGATAATTAATTGTTTTTCCTGATAAATGTAATGATGAATGTTCAATTATTGGTAAATCTAATAAGAAATAAATTATATTTAGTTGAAGTTTCATTGAAAATTAACCTTCTTTTTTTATTGGTACATCTGTTGTTCGAACGCGAAGAAATGCAGTAGTTGAACTTTGTCCCAGTTGATTAAAAGCTCGAACAGTTATATTATAATACTCCAAATGTTGAAGATCTAAAAAGTTAGTTTAGATAGAGACAGGAAAACTAAATCCTAATATGAAAGAGCTAATTCGTTTTGTTAAAGATTACGAAGTTTGTCATCTATTCATATGATTTCAACCTTGCAGGAGGTATCTATTTCAAATAAAAACATCTTTCGTAATAATGAAAGAAGATCTCTTTTGGGTATAAAGCAAGAAGCTGTGTAATGTATACATATGTGATTATGTATATTATACATCCTTCGTGTAAACATTTCTATATAGTAGGAAAACTTACGTTTGTTAATAATGAACTAAAATATGAACACTTTAATGAATGTATTCAATCAAATATGTATATAGTTTATGTGGCTTTGAACTGACATTTGAATGAGTTTTGGTCTCTTTTTAATTTTTTTTTCAATCTAGCAAATCTTAAGCTTGTCAGGAAAGCCATTTCAACCAATAATATTCAACAGAAACAAACTTACTCTAAAAAGAAATCTAGAATCTCTTATTTTTAAGTGAAGTGGCTCTATCTGTTTCACACGTTTAAGTGCAACGATACATTTATTAAATAAAAAAAGCACAATCTATATTTATATTCTAAAAGAATTTCGAATGATGCTGTTTATTTCTGATGAGAAAATCTCTTCAGCTGCTCCATTGTAATTTCAATGACTTTTTGCCTGTAGATGCAACTTAGTATTTCAAATAAAAACTCTAAAAAGATTTCGGTTCCTATTGAGAGTTGACTAAATAATCGGATTTTTTCTCGAGGTCCGGGCACAATCCTACGTTTTCGGAAAATTCGTATTTTTGAATTGCGATCTAAAACTTTTCTTCATATAGAGAATTCAACTAGACTAGCTCCCTTACAAAAAATTCAAAAGCCTCGAACGAAGTCTTTTTGAGATATGAAGCTGTCAACAAAATGCATGTTGGATATATTATCCATAGAAAAGAGTCTATATCTTGAAAGGCTCTTATTTCGAATAGACTTTGTTGAAAACTTCTGAATTTTTATATGGAAACTAGTCTAGTTGAGTTCTCTATGTGTAGAAATTTTCAGATCAACATTCGATCACGTTGTTAAGTATCAATAGGAACCCAAATTATTTTAGGGTTTATAGTATCTATAAGCAAAAAAATCATTACAATCAAAAGGGAGTCGCTGAAGAGGTTCTCTCGCCAGTTATTACCGATGCATATTAGATTTTTCAGTTCGTACTCATTCATAAACTGATTCTGTCATCACAAATAAAATCACTAAATATTTTATGAGACTGTCAATCCATGTCTATGATGTTACAACATCATTTAAACATCGTTCTATGAAAAAACTCACTTGTAAATGTAAAATAAGTTTGATTAGTTTCTTTCCATATATAACTATCGAGTGAAATCCAAAACGATTGTGGCCATCCACCATCAAATCCCGGTTTCCATTCCAAACTAATCGTTGAATAATTAATGTCGGTTATATTGAAATCCGTTGGTGATTCAGGTATACCTAAATAAAAACAAAAAGAAAAAAAAAGATTTGTTTTTTGTTTTCGTTTCATTAAATAATGAACAACTGTGATGAAAATGATTGATTGATAAACTATTAACATAAAATAAAAATTCCATTCTGTGAGCAATAGGAGATATATGTCTATATGATATGATAATGATCGTGAAAAGAGCAAGCACAGTATGAGAAATGATTCGATCTTAACATTAAATTATATGTCAATATACCTTTTGATCTCAGTTGGATAGTTGTAGAATTATATCCTAACTTATTTGATGCATTACATGAATATAATCCATAATCGATATCAGATAGAATTTCTTGAATCATTAAATAGGATACAGATTTATTTTGTATAATGGAATATTTATTTGAATTAAATATAACGCTATTATTAAATGTCCAAATAATTATTGATTCAGGATATGAGTCAATTTCACATTGAAATTTTATATTAGTTGTATGAAGATCAGCAGCTATTATTGGATGTAACGTATGTACTTTTGGAGCATCTAAAAATGAAGTTTTTTATTTTAATGTTAGAAAATTCGATTTGACAATGTTTCTCTTACAATGAACAATAACTTTTGTTTGTGTTCTATTAAACATTTCAATAGAACTTCCATTAGGATATTTCAAAGTATTTTTTACTATACACATATAAATTCCTGCATCATCTTTTGATACTTTTTCAATAACTATTGAAGATGTTAATGAACTTGTATTTAATTTTTGCTTATTCTTATGCCATTGATAATAATCAATTGATGGATAAGAATCTACGTTACATATTAATATTAATCTTTCATTTTCATTTATTAATCCACCACCATTTAATTGAACTATTGGCGGATCTAGAAAACGAGAAAAAAAATCCTTATTTAAAAAGAATTTCTTTTTTTTGATTTTACATTGAACACGAATATATACTGATGATTGACCATGACCAATTGAATTTGATGCTAAACATGTATATTCTCCATCATCACTACGTTTTATATTTTGTAACATTAAGGAAGAAGTACTATCTGAAAATTTAGACGAAATTTTTTTCTAATTTCATGCACAAAAATCAACAGACCAGAAATTGATACACCATTTTTTAACCAAGTTATTGGTTTAGTTATTGGTGGATTTGAATCGATTTGACAATGAAGCGTTAAACGATCATCTTCAATAACCAGCAAATTAAGATTTGAAATAATTGTTTGAACATGACGTAAACGAACTTCTGGTTTATCTATTTTCAATAAAGAAAATTAAAAATTGAAAAACAAAAATCAAAATTTTCCTTACATTCAATATTTAATGTATATGAAGTAATTAATGGTTTATCTAAAGCTTGATTGTCTATTTGACAAGTTAATAAACCATTATGAAAATGTTTTTCTAATGGTAAATATAATTCACTATATGATTGACGTGTATCAGAATGAACAATATAAAATGATCTAATTATTAAAAAGAAAATATTTTGAAATAATGTTTCATTGTTTTTTTGTTTAATGTCTTACTCATTTATTTTTATTTGATTAATTAACCAATTAAATGTTGGTAATGGATTTCCACCTTGTGTTATACAAAGAAATTTTCCTATGTTATTTTCAATTAAACTTTTATTTGTTTGTTGTATATCAGGTTTTGTTGGTCGAGCTAAAATCAAATGTTATATAAACATACTTTACATTTTAGAAAATAGTACATGTTAACCTTGTTACTCTTGATTAGAATCAGAAAAGAAGGAACAGTTAAGAAACGGTCAGACATCAATCATCTATTGACCTTCACCTTTCTTATTCAATCTTAAGGCATAGCTATCAAGCTGTTGAACGATGGTTCAAGTATTCTTATGAATATTATCATTATTTAAATCAGTTTTCTATTTTATGCTGAAATAGTTAAAATTATTAATATCCATATTACAATATAACTCTCATCAATAACTGTATTTCTTATACGATCAGAATCAATCCATATGTATGGTTAATAAGAGAATGTTTTATTTTTGAAGTCTACTTACTTAAAATAGTTAATAGAATATTCATGGCTACAAGTTGATCAAAATTTTGACATAAATACCGTCCACTATCTTGTTCAGCTACTGTTTTAATCATTAAATCATATCTGCTTATGATTTCATATTTTTTTCGATCACCAGCTATTTCATCATTAACAGATAAAACAACACTATCTTTTGACCTATTGATTAAAATAAAAAAATCAACAATCAAAAAAAAAAAGAAACTTTTTTTTTATATCTTCTTACCACATAACACGATCTCCTTTATTTAATTGTTCAAATCGACATGACAGTATTACATTATTACCTTGTTTTTCTGTAATAGTTTTGGTACCAACTATTTTTGATGCTTGAATATATTCAATAATAATAAAGAATAGTACTAAATAAACATTCAAAACATACTTTTTTCATTTCAATTAAATAGATTATCATTGCTTTCTTTTTTTCTTCCTATCACTTTCAATATATCAAAAATAAATCAATATGATATTAATCATATTGATTTATTTGATCAAATAAAGTGTTTAAAATCAAATCGGAAAATCCATCACGATATATATATATTTAATTTGAATAAGAAAAACAAATTTAAATATTTCTTGATAGAAATTCAATCATTAAATATATCCATTATTATTTTTTACCAAGACTTTTTTTGTAGTACTCAGAAACAAGAAATATAAGATGATAGAAATTCCCCAATGTATGCAATAAAAAGAATATGATGAGAACTGTTGTCTTTATCTTTTTTTTCTCAGGTCAAGCAGAAGATTATTGTGTAATCTTATTTTAGAACAAACCAAGAAAAACGAACTTTCAGTAAAGAGATCAAAAAAATCTTACCGAAAATTGTCACTTGATACATTTGTAAAAATGAAATGTACAATCAAATGAATACGTTAATCTGTATAGAAGTGTGGAGGTGAAATTTTTTATTACGTTACGTCAAGTTAAAGTTCAACATAAGTATTTCTATGTATTCTTTTTTTTTCGGTCCGAATAGAAATGAATTTGTAAATAAACTAGATGACAACCAAGAGGATCAGTTCGATTGCAAGGATAGAAATGATTATGATTTCTTCTCTCCTGTACCAATGAAGATGATGAGTAAATACGCGTTCTTATATTGAGAGAAATGAATGAACGGCTACATCCTCTATCTTCCTTCTCTTTCTCCTCCTTCTCTTCTCTTGTCTTCTCGTCTATCAACAGTCAAAATGACCATAGAATAAAAGAAAACGAGATGTCAAATAATAGCATGCAAGTCCATTACAAATGTATCGAACCCTTTAATTCCATTTTCCGACTTAAGCATAATGTTTATATATATATATATTAAGTCATTTGCCATGGTTGCTCGTGTTATAATGACGACAAAAGACAGACATATTACTATGATGGTTGTCCCTTGAGCTTTAGTTTCCGATAGTTAAATTATATATGTTTTTTTTTCCAGAAAGAAGAGAACAATTCAACGTTAATTTTTTTCAAGATGTTCATTGGATTGATCTCCTTTGGCTATGTTTAATTTGATTTAGAGAACGATGGATTGAAATGTTGACCTTTAGAAGATCTAATAAAATTTTGGTCTTTTCTTGGTATATATTACATAAATAAACACGTCTGTTCATTTGTTTTACGCATACCTTTAAAGATTTGTCCATATTTACTTCATATCTTCAAAAAAAAAAAAGAAATTTATTACGTATAACTTATTAATTCACTATGTATAACACAGTACAAGGCTTCATGATTTCCATAAAAAATGAAAAAAGAAAAGTCATCTTCAGTCTATATGACGTTTTAATTATAGTGTCCACAATTGCTTAAACTTTTTTCTCTATCGTCATATCCGGATTCATCATAGTTTTTTTTTATTATGGTGTGACGCCGGCAACTGAATGATTGAGTTGGTCTCATTTCCTACTGAAAATTATTACGCATATCTTTTCTATTGAAACAAAACAAAAAAAAAAGATTAGGATAATTTGTCGAGGAGAAAAAAAGATGGCTGTATGATAGGTGTTTATTTATTCTCATCAAGGGCGTTGAGATGATTGCGTCAATTATATGATGTTTACTTTTTTTGTCAAGATATCGACACATATAATGGCATATAGGGCGGTACTCTATACTGTAAAAGAGAAGCTCTATTATAATAAATGAATATCAATTAGCTCAGTTGTATATAATATGTAATGTGATTTCATCTCTTTTTCATATTGGTATTCAACACAAGAGATTTGTTTGACATGAGAACATTGACTATAAAGTAGCATCTCTTTTATTCAATTAGTTACAAGAATAAGATGTTTGACATAATATTATATATTATGATCGATGCCAGAATTCAATATTTGCTCTACTGAGACTTTATAACAGTAGATCTGCATAAAATCAAACGAGATGATAGCCATCATAAAATAGACCAATAATTAAACATGCAATGTTCACTCATTCGTTGAAGACTAAAAGTCAAAAATTGAATATATGAAAATAAGATTTGAATATGATTAAAATTGTCTATCTAAATGAAAAATCTTAGTTTAAAAATTTTAATCTAATAAGATATTTAAATAATTGAAACTTGTTTTGTTCTTTCATTTAAAAAAACTTGATAGCTCATTGGTCCTTTTAGTACAAATTTGAGACGAGGTTAATCGCAGACGGAGAGAAATAGATTAAGATTATGATTATGATTACATAGAGAAAATAGGTAAACAAGTTACGGCTTTTCTTTTTTTTTTTTTGCACGTCATACTATGCAGCAAATGCACAGGACAGTATTATCATAATGAACATCTTACACAACGTGGCTTTGCATGATAAGAAGATTTCAAGAAATTGAAAAAAACTTTAGAATTTCTTCTTTATTAAACATGTAAAGTTAGTATACATTAGCGTTATTCACATATCGAAGTCTTTTTTCCTAGGGCTGATATATTGCCCAGAAAACGTTGTCGTCTATGTGCGGTTTAAATTCAGTACTGTCTATCGTGTTAATAGATTTCTCGGTTGATTCAGACAAAATTTTATTTAGAGCATGTTTTATTTACATAGATCTCATTTAGTGCAAATGCAAGACCATTTCAGATGGGACGAAATTTGTTTTAGATAAATGGAGTAGAAATGTATAAGATTCAATTGTTTCTTTTTTGTGTAAGTACTGGAAGAAGTGCAAAGACCTACTAGGTGAAGAGTAGATGAAAGTAACTGGAGAACTGAGCATATCTTGATTTGAAGGAAGTAAATTCATTTAATCGTAATTTATTCAGTATATTTACTGTTTGTTTAATCATTTGAATAATTTTATTTATCGCCAATTTCCATCCTAACTTTTATTATATCAAACACTTTAAATATTTAAAATCTCTCGTTTATTCTAGTTTCTTTTCTATATTTAATTTCAGCTTTAGTATTTGAGATAATTCTAAAATTAAACAGCAACAGACAGAATACAACTAAGATGAAAAATATAATTTATTTTTATTTTTATTTTTATGAAATAACAAAATCAATAACAATAAACAACAGAAACATAACCATTTTTTTTTTTTTT